AAGTTGCGGGGGGGGGGGGGCAGTGGCAGAGCCGCCACGGGAGCCAAGCCAGGTCCAGGCCCAGGTCGCAGCCTGTCCTCCTCCAACAACCTCCCGCTACGTGAGCGGGCTCTGCGTGGGGCGGTCGCCGGCTGCCTCTGGGCCGCGGGCTGCTGGGTTCTCCGTGCACGGAGAACAACCACCGTAGCTGGGTCTCGTACCAGGCGAGTCCCCTGCGGGGAGTACTCACAGGCTAGCTTCTCCTTGCCCGTCCCCTGGGACCCTCGCCGCTGGGCGGCCGGCCCGCCGGGGAGCTCGTGGAGAGAGGAGTCGCTGAGCGACGAGGGCGAAGAGTCGGACGCCTCAGAGGGGCGGCCGTGGGGCCAGCTGTCCGCCTTCCCCTGCACCTGCCGGCCCTGCGGGGTGCAGAGCCCTGCTGTCCCGGGCTGCGAGCCCCCGTCCCCGGCGCAGCTTCCAGAGGGGACCCAGGCGTCCGGGATCCAGCCCGTCTCGTGGCAGAAGTCTAGGTAGCCCTGCGGGGCGGGGGGCCAGCCTTCGGGGCGCGGTGGGGGGCTCTCCGGGCCCTGATCCTCAGAGGAGCTCTGGAAGAGGCCGCGATCCCCTGGAGCCGGCGGCTGGAGGGCGGGCAGCTCCACGAAGGACAAGCTCTCCTGCTTGCAGACGGCCACGTGGTGCCTGGCCGGGCCCTGGGGCTCGCCCACGGTGAGGACCCCCATGCCCTCGCTGGCGTGACGGTACGGCACTGAGGTCAAGTGCGGCTGGAAGTCAGGCCGGGGGCGGTAGTCCATCCCCAAGGGCAAGGCCGGGTCTCAGACCTGGAGGGGGGAGACACAGCAAGGCATGCATCAGGGACAGGGCACGATGGCTCGGCGACAGGAGAAAACCCCCGCTCCACGCCAGCCAGCAGCCGCCGCAGTGGCTGGCCACGAGGCTTTGGCCACCCCAGGGGCCGTCTGGGCCACGTGCCTGGGAGAAAGAAGCCCCTTCACTTCTCCCTGCCCCGGCGGGCGACGATGCAGCCCAGCTGCCTCCTTCCCGCAGCCAGGAAACCCGGGCGTCACCCAGAGCAGCTGGGCCCGGCCTCCCTCCAGCGACTGCCACCACGGAGCCGGCTGACGCGGGGAAGCCCTGCTCCGGCTGCCAGGGTGGTTCCCCGCGCACAAAGGATCCCATTCATCCGTGCCCGTGCGTGACCCGGAGCCGTGTTTGCTTTCGCGGCTCGACGGCCGTTTGCAGAGCGGGGGGAGCTGATGAGCTGGCCGGGGTCCGGACACGTACAATAGCTCGGCTTTATCTGCTCCCTGCGCCCGGGGTCTGGTAGACAGACCCGCGGCTGGGTCTCCAGCGGGGGTAAGTCCACCCACAGCCACTGGAGCCCTTGGGCCTCAGTTTTCCCATCTGCAAAATGGAGCTAATGACCCCAGCTTCCCCTGCAATCTGCTTTGTCGTGACCCACAGGTTATTTTCCTTCCCACTGACAACTGGAGAGACCCTGCCAGCCTTCAGCTCAACGGGAACAGTGGCAGCCGCTGAACCACCCAGCACGGACCGGTCTCCCGCCCACTACTCTCCAGGCCGCTTTGCTCTGGAGCCCTGACCGCGAGGGGACCGGGACGCCTCGGCTGAAACCTCAGAGCCGCCAAAACCCCAGAGAACGCCTCCTGCCCAGATCAGAAGGGAAACGTTTCCAGGAGATGCCTCGATGCAGATCCCGGGAGGACCAAGCCAGTGCCCCCGGACGGCGCCAAGGGGGCCAGCTCCCCTCCAGGACTGGGTCCGGATTGATCCTGTTTAGAAGGACACGGGCATCCTGGCTGCCAGTTCACACTCGGCCCCTCTCCATTTCTGCCCTGCGCGGCACCACCCGCTCCCACTCAAAGCGAGTACAAGCACAGGCTGCAATTGCCCCTCTCGCCCCTTCGCCGTCCCTCTGCCCAAGGAGCCCAGCCCTGTATCAAGATCAAGACCAGGAAGCTGGCTGCCACCTCCGCTCGACCCGCTGGCAAGGGCGGCAGCAGCTGGGCACTGTTTGGCTGCGGGCTTCACCCTCCCCGGGCTGTCTGCATGGCAGAGACACCGGGAGGGAAGGAGATCCCTCCGGCCGGCAGCAAACACTTGCCCAGAGCAACAGCTCTGCTGCAATTAAAACCAAGCCTCCTGTCCTGGAAACCACGGGTGCACGGGCTTGCAAACAGCTGCAGGGTGGCACCGAAATGGCTGCGGGGACGGGATCTGCAGCGTCTGTCTCCCCTGGCAGGGAGGGGTGTGAGGGGCCCGGGGCTGCTGGGGTTTTCCCCCAGGGCTTGAATCTTACCCCTCGCGCCTCGCTGCCTGCTGAGTTGGTCTCAGGAGACGCTGGCACCCGTTGCCCTTTGCAGGAAGGTGACTGTGACCCGGGGGCCAAGGGGAACGAAGGAAGAAAGCATCAGAAATCAGAGCCGAGTTGAAATCAGCCTCCTCTTGAGACTACCCACGTGCCGTGCACATGACGCCTGCTCTTGGCAGCCCTGCAGGGTTGCCATCGTTAGGGTTCAGAGTCAACGCCCCGTGAGGGGACAGGGCGCATGTGCCGGTTGCTCTCTTTGCAAGCCGTTGGCCCGAGAGCCGACCTTGCCGAGTGCTCTGAAACCCACCCGGAGGCATTTAGGAAACCCAGGAAGGGTGAAGGACTCTGGCCCACGGCAAAGCCATCCCGGCACATTGCTTCTCGCCGGTCTCCCGGAAAGCGGGGACCGAGGGAGATCCATAGCCAGGGTCACTATCAGCGTTGGCCCGAGCAATGGGGCTTCACCGAGCACTGGGGAAGGTGGCCTAGCTCCGCACCGTCCTGCTTGAAGAGCTGGCACAGAGGAGCTCCTCGGTTAAACAGTAACTCGTGTTTCAGAGGAAGAATCAATCCCGAAAACAAAGTTCAGTGTCTTAAAGCCGGCTTATCAGCACCGAGGGCTCGCACCGGCCCCGTCACCCCCAGCGCACTGTAGCTCCCAGGGGGAAAATGGGTGGGGAAAGAAATGCCCCACACTGCAAAACCTTATAACATCCCCAAACTGCTGGCAATGCTTCAAGGGGTGTCTCAAATGGTCCCCAAATGCAGATGACGCTTTTTCCGACCGCTGCTGCCCCAACAACTGGCAAATTCAAGTGCAACCTTCAGGGCAAGTCGCGGGCTAACCAGCAAATGGGAAGGGGGTCCCGGGCTCCGTGCAGCCCGACTCTGGGTTACGATCCCAGCACACTGCCCTTCTCCGGCTCTGCGGCTGGGAGAAACCCTCCCTGCGCTGGCTGCAAGGCAGAGCCAGGCCGGATTTCAGAGCCGCGGCGCACAATGCAAATATGGCACGTACCTCGGCCTTGTTGTCTTGGGTCTAATTACACCCGACACGCTCGTTAGGAGCAATGCGTCCGCGCCTGGGGGCCGCGTTGCTCCTAAGCAGCTGTTGCTGTTATGGGAAGCGCCAAGTAGGGAAAGAGTTGGGAGTGGGGAGGGTAGGTTGCTGGGGAAAGGTCATATCGAGCGGTGCTGGGACGAGGTTGTTGCTCATATCAGGTGTTGCTGCAAATGGGTGTGGACTGCATTATGGAGTCAGCTTTTGGTCGTCCGTTCCCGGTGGCTTCTGCCAGAGCAAGGGGCAGAGTTAAGGTTATGCCGTGGGGGGTGCTAAGTACCGTCAGGCTACCCTGGGCATTAATGAAGCTCCAGATGGTCAACTGGGGTAAACGAGTGTCCGTTGACCCGGGGGGGCTGTAGCGGGCACTGTCCTGGGTGCTGTCTGGGAGGGAAAGCTCCCGGCCTAATGGTGTCCCTTCCTCGCCCCTGCTCCAGGCCTGGTTCTTCTCCTCCCTAGGAGGGGATGGAAGGGGACAAAGCCCCCCCGGGCCTGGATGCAGCTGGCAGGAGCGGATCCCAGGGAAATCCCGGAGCGGAGACCTGGAGCTGGGAGAGCTGGGGGGGCTTGGAACAGGACTTGGGGAAGGGGAGCAAATCCCACCCCAGAAAGACCCCCCTGGCTTTGGCAGCCGGGGCCAGTCCCAGGCACGAGAGCAGCAGCTGGGGGGCAGGACACCTGGGTCCCAGCAATCACGGGGCCACAGGCCCTGGTGTCTCCCCAGCCAACCCCTCCTGCATCAGCAGAGAACCAGGGATGACACCCACGGAGCCCGGAGCCCCGTCTGCACAGGAACCGGAGCCACGAGTCCCGGGGGAGGCAGCACCCCAGCCACCCCGCGGCAGGCAGCAAGCTCCCCAGGACAAAGGCCGCCCCGCGTCCCTCGCAGGAGGAGGGAGCAAGGAGGGAGGCCACGTGGTTACCCAGCGGGCATCCGGCCAGGGCCCCGGGGCTTCTCCATCTCTCCTGGGAGCCGCGCCAAGGGATCTGTCGCGACCAGATGGCGCTCAGCTCAGTGCCGCGGAGGGACGGGGGCTCGGCTGCGAGGGGACGACCATGCCTACCGAACCTCCCTCCGCCAGGCGGGCTGTCCCCTTGCCCCCGCGTGGGAAGCGGCACCGCTGCCCAGCGGAGCTCGTGGGCCTGGACACGGCCCCACGCGTGGTGGGGGCAGTGGGATCCCGGGAACAGCCTTTGCACCTCAGCTCCCTGAGCCCAGGAGACGCCCTCTGTGCCCCAGGGTGGCTGGGCAAGATCCTGGCCCTCGGGAGTCTACCCCGGCCTCTTGCTCCGTGCCACCCAGAACAAAGGCAGACGGAGCCGAGGGGGAAGGAGGGACGAGAGGTACCTCATTGGCACGCCGGTGTCCGGCGCCGGCGGCAGCTGCAGCTCCGGGGAGGTGTCCCATGCCTCCTGCCTCGGCGCCCTCCGAGACGAAGCCCCGCTGCCCAGCGCTGCCGGGCCCGGGAGGCGCCTCAGCGGCCGTGCCTCCGCTTGGCGCTGCCCCGCGTCTCCCCCTCCGCCCGGAGATTTATTCGCTTCATCTCCGGCACCTGCTGGAGCTGCCTGAGCCGGAGCTGCCTCTGGGTAGCCCCAGGCCAGCGCGGCGCGGGCGGGCGTGTATGAATCCCTCGTCTGTGCGCCGGCTGCACGGGCGGTGGAGGGAGGAGGAGGAGAAGGGGGAGACGAAGGAGCTCGAGGGGCGCGGTGCTGTGCTGACTTGCCCGCTGGCTTCTCCTCTGCCGCCCGCCCCACCCTCCCGCTTCCCCAGGGACATGCCTTCGCAGCAACGAAAACAGGTTCGTCTGGTCGGGAGACGCGTGGGGAAGGTGCCAGAGGTGGAGAGGGAGCCGCCGAGCCAGACAATAGCGGCCCTGTCCTCCCGGCCAGGCTTGGACGGGGAGAGCGGGAGGCGGAGGGCGCGGGACAGGCCAGGGCCTGGGCGTCCCCGGGGCTGCGGGGCCGCGCCGGGCTCTCCGGCAGTCGTCCCTGGGGTCTGCTCACGTCCCACGGGCCCAGCTTTTGCACGTCCAGCCGTTTCCGAGGCACGAAAGCATTGGCACAGACCCCCCCGTCTGCCTGGAGACACCTCATCCAAAGCCCAAATCCTGCCCGGGGTGTTAACTCCGGACCTTCACGCCGGCAGCGTGCCCGGGATCTGCATTTTGCAGCCAGCTGTTTGGCGGAGGTGCTTCGTGCGGGGGGCTGGATCCCCTGGGCCAAAGCAGCGAGCTGGACGGCTGGAGGAAGGATGCGATGGCAAAGGGCGCAGCGGGGAGGGCGAGGCTGTGGCCGGCGGCCCAGGCACCGCGGGGGTGGGCACAGGCCGCGGCCCCCGGCAGAGGGTGCAGATGGCGGAGGGCGGTTGCAGGAGGTGGGAGCTGGCGGGGCCGGACCTGCGTGGGTGCTCGAGGCAGCGGGGGGAAAGGCTTCCCACCCGCATGCCAGGAGCAGCGAGTGGGAGCAGGGCCTGCTCCCGGAAAGCCGAAAGAAGGAAGAAAAAAGGAAGGAAAAAGCCCCCCTCGCTGCTGCTGCGCTGTCAACACAAGTTCAAGGCCGGGGGGGAGTTTTGGAGGCAACGCGCCCCGGCCCTGTTCACAAGCAGCGTCCTGTCCCCCTCCCACCCCACCCCACCTGGCTGGCATGCCCCCTCATTATCCAGCCCCTCCGGCTGCCTTTAATTATGTCAGATCTCAGCAGATAAATCAGCCTGCTGGCAGGCGCGGCTCGGGGAAGGGCCTCCCGCTTCGCCGCTCCGAGACGCGGGGCTGTAGGCTGGCGACGGGGACGGGGGGCACGTGGGCAGGAGGTGGCGGTGCTCCCCGGGTATGGGGTCGCATCCCAGGGGAACCGTAGGAGGGACCCGCAGAGGTGACGGCCGGGGGACCGGGGAACTCGCCCGCTGGGGTCCCTGCCTGCGTGCTCCTGGGGTGGGCTGGCATCTCCCTACCAGGACCCCCCACCCCGGTGCGACCCAGGGAAGGGGCAAGTGCAGAGATGGCACCGAGGGCCAAGCGGGGCCGAGCGACGACGGCGAGGCGTAATTGCAGGGGGCTGGCGCGGCGCGTGCAGACTTCCTCCCTGTCTTCCCTTTGTGTCTCCCTTTGCTGCGGGCCCATAAATTACAGGGGGGGCCGCCGCGGGCCCTGCATTCCTGCTGCTGGAGGGTGCCCAAAGGCGGCAGCTGGGCCCCTTGCAGCCTCGGGGAGCCTCCGCGGCCGGCTCGGCTGTGCCCTTGGCCTCCAGGGCCGGGCTGTGACTCAGCCTGGAATTCCCCGGGCGGGCGCCGGGTCCGCGGCTCCCGGCCTCCGCCCACGGCTGAAGGCTGCTCTGGCGGGGAGCTGCAATCTGGGCCCTTTCCCAGGCTGCCTCCAACACGCCCTCCCCGCCCAGGGGACACCGAGGCACAGGGACGATGCAGATCTCCTCGGTCCCATCCTGCAAGCACCCAGCTCCGCACTGGCATCCCTGCCCCCCCCCAGACACACACACGCATGCACACACGGCTGCCGTGGGCTCATGCCGAGTGTATTGGACGCCCACACACACAGCACACGGCTTGGCGGCGCACGGCCCCCGCGGGGTCCTGAGCGTGAAGCGCAAAGACCAGGTCCAGAAGCAGCGGCGGTGGCAGCGGTGCAGGGGGATGTTATGTCGGGGGAGAGCGTCCCCAGTCAGGATGGAGGGGGCAGGAGATCCAAGTGACGATGGCGCTGGCTTCTGCACTCGTGCTCTCACCGCCGGCTGGCAGCTCTGGCGAGGGGCCTGGAGCAGCCCCCGACATGCTCCGAGGTGGCTGCAGCTCTTGCAGGGGGAGTCGCTTGCCTCTGGCTCGCGCGGCAGCAACTGGGAAAGAGCCAGAGAAGGGCCCTGGGCTCAGTCCACCCGAGTCCAGACTCTCGGCTGCGTGCGTAGGTCTCCGGGGGGCCGGAGGGGAACAGCTGGGTCCTTCAACCCCCTCTGCAGCCAGACACAGAGCGGGGTGAAGTGGGGAGCTCCTGCTCCGGAGGGACACGCTGGGCTGGCTCCAGCCCCTGCCTCCCCACGTCCACCCTGCCCGAGCAGCAGTCTCTGGCCTCTGCCCATGGAGGCAGCAGGCCCTCAGTGGAGCGTGGGCAGGACCGCGGCGGCCCTGCCCGATCCTCGCGCTGTCTCCAAGGCCGGGCGATGAGGTGGGGCGTGCGGGGGGCCGCTCACAGCCGTCTCCGCCTTCCCTTCCAGCAGCCGCCCCCGGCCTGGCAGCTAGGTCATGCTGCTGGGTGAAAGGCTGCTTGCTGCGTGGGGAGGAGACGGAGCATCCGGGTTAGCGTTCATCCCCCGGGACTGCCTGTCCCCGTCCCCGTCCCCGTCCCCAGAGCCAGGACCCAGCGCGCTCCCAGAATCAGCGCCAGAATCGGGCCCAAATAAGCCCAATTCCCCGTAGGAGCGGGGTTGAGCGAGGCCAGCATGGCTCCAGCGGTGCAGCAGCTCACACTGGACCTGTTCCTCTCTGGGCTTCAGCTCTCCTACCCCTTGGAAAGCCTGGGTGCACCGGGCAGCCTCCCTGCCCACGGCCTTCTCTCCCCAGACCCTGCCCACGTGAGCCAGGCTCGGCCCCGGGAGGCAGCCGGCAGCAGGGAGCTGAGCTGTGCCCTTGGCTCTGGCCTCTCCTGTCTACGTAGGAGATTTCGGGAAGCCCAGAGCTGGCCTAGCTCAGTGCAGACTGAGCCCAGCAGAGCCTGCACGCCAAGGGCAGCTGGTGCAGACCCCTGCAACCCCCCAGGGATGTGGCTATCCCCCATCACGCCAATGGGATGCAGTGGACAGCACGGCCTGCTGCCGGGGGGGCCTCAGCCTAGCTCCATCCACCTGCCCAAGAGCCAGCCCCTGCCTGCCCCCAGCCTCCGTGGACCGAGGGAGGAGGGGGTCACATGCTGGCCCTGTGGCTGAAGCTATCCCAGAATTAACCAGGCTGCTAGGACCCCCTGAAGAATGCCAGTGACGTGGTCCCGTGTGCCACGGATGGAGGTGTGGGGAAGCGTGTAGGGACAGGGACACTTACCACAGGGCCACCACACGGTCATGCTGTCCCGGGTGAAGACAGTGAAAGACGTGAGCGCCACGAGCACACACATGTACAGCACACACACAGCACGCCACGAGACACAGCCACGGGAGCTGCACCCTGTGCCCAGCGTCCTCCCGCCACCCACGGTCCACTCCGGGTGGGCAGAGAGATCACACCCGGCTCAAGCGCCTGCTTGCCCCATTGGGTAATGCCCCCCCACCCTGGGGTCAGCTGCAGGGCTGGGTTTCGGTTTGCCCAGATGGGATTTTGGAGGAGGGGGTGACTGTCACCTGGGGCAGAGCTGAGAGAGGCCACGCTGCCTCCTCCGGGCACAGAGACAGATGGGCAGGGACGAAGGTGCCCCAGTGCCCGCCTCGGGGACAAGAGTGCAGCTGCTGTGCTGGTCCCCCTGCTCCGGGACACAGCTCTGGACACAGATCGTATGCACACGCACGTGCACATGCAGCGGACGTGATGCACATCTAAGCAGGGTGGAAATGAACGGAGAAGAGTGGGAGATGCAATCCAGGCATCCCAGGAGCAACAGCCGCTCTGGGGGCAGCTGCCAGGCAGAGCAGCACCAACCCACTGGGACTCAAAGGGGTGGTGCCCAGACGTGCTGCCCTAAGGGGCTGATCCCCTTGCAGGGGTGCCCGCCAGTCACCGGCTCGCCCCTTTCAAAAGTGGCATGGAAGGATCCTGGGGCTTTGGGACAAGCCGGAAAGGGATCTCGGGCCGGAGCTGGTGACATCCCCTTGCCCATCACGGGAGCTGCTTGTGTTGGCAGCTGTTGCTCGCACAGGGGATCCCGTAGTCGTGCCCACAGGGGAGGGCCCATTCAATTTATACAGCAGGTGGGTCTGTGCGAGCGCCAAGGGCACGTGCCAGCCGGCTGCCCTGAGGACCGGTGTCCTTGCTGCCCACGAGCACTGCCCTGCCAGTGCCCCTTGGGGCTGATCTGCCCATGACCCCACGGCCTGGCCTCGCTGCCCATTCAAGAGGTGGTTCCCAACCCATCACCTGCAGGTGCCAAGGTCCAGCCACGAGGGGCCCCGAGCCTGTGCAAATGGCAGAGGTGTGCCGAGGCTCGGGTACTGCCAGCCTTGTGATGTGCAGCACAGGGGGCTTTTGGCACCCAGAGCTAGCTCCGCACCTAGAAACCTGGGCTCCAGCCCAGCTCAGCTCCTGGCTGCTACAGGGAGGACCATCAGCAGGGCCGTAGGGTCCATCGAGCCCAGTGTCCCATCTCCGGGGAGGCTATAGAGGGAGAGCCTTGAACCGGAGATCTCTTGACCGATCCATGCCCTTTCAATGCCCTCTCTGGCACCCACTGTGATGAGGTGAGAGGTGCCAGAGGAAATAGATTCAACAAATCTATTTGTTCAACACCCACAAATAGATTGATGAATAGATCTGCTAATAGACACGGGTCCCGAACCCGCAGGGAGACGGCAGGTGAGCCACTGGGGATGAAGAGCAAGGGCCACATCTGGCAGCGCTGGGGGCATCGGGAGGGCTGTGTATGCAGTCACCCCCCCGAATGGAGCTCGGCACTTCTCCGGCACCGATGCCAACCCCGGCAGCTGCCGTACAGAGGCCTGGCGTATAGCTAGACTGGCATTGTGGGAAGTACAGGGGATGGGGGCCACGTCTGACCCCGCAGAGGGATCCCGTGTGCCTCCCGTGATGTGCTAACCCTGGCTGGGCACACAGACCCGAGCAGACACACAGGCACACGCACACGGCGCCCGGCGCACTGACCTGGTGAGGGCGAGTCGGGACTCACCGTCAGCAGCACATCGTGGTTGTCGGCCAGCGCCTGCTTGGCCAGGTACCGCTCACGCTTGATCTTCACCTCCAGCGACTCGGGGACGTCGGGCACCAGCCAGTCGATGAGGCGCAGGCAGAAGAAGACCACGTGCTGCGGGGGAGCGAGGGGTCAGGGACCGACTCGGGCCTGGGGACTGAGGAGCTCGGTGATGGGGGTGCAGAAAACCCAGCAGCGGAGGGACCGATGGATGGGGAGAAGCATCGCTATGGCGGTGCTGCAGCGAAGCACCCGTTTGGGGCTCAGCTACCACCACGGTGAAGGGCACCAGGACAGACTGGGCAGCTCAGCCCCTGCCCGTATCCTGGCGGGCCTCACCTCGAAGGCGATGATGAAGCCCAGGCGGATGGCCAGCAGCTTCCAGTAGAAGAGGGTGTAGTTCCCACTGGTGTCGCGGAAAGCTTTGTACCTGCACAGAGAGGAGCGGGGCAGCAGCTCAGAGCGGGCCGTGGCGTCGTGCCCTATTTGGGACCCCCCCGCCAGCACCCGAGAGCCTCAGCTGGGTGGACATGGGGCTGAGGGAAGGTCCCTGATGGGCGGCCCTGGGGAACGAAGCCCTGGCTTCTCTAAGCAGCAGATCTGGGCTGCACCCCCTACAATGACATCCCCCCCCATGTTGCCTCTCACCGGCACAGGGTGCGATTGCTGGCGACGTAGCTCTGGGGGGCGTAAGCCAGGGTGAAGTTGATGTAGCCGTGGAGCTGGCTGTCGTGCTCGTACTGGTACAGCAGCCGGGGCAGGAAGTCCGAGGTGAAGGCGATGAGGAAGGCCTGAGGGAGACCGCAGGGTCAGGGCACGTGCACTCCCTGCCTGGGCCACCACGGGGCATGTCCACAGAGGGGACGTGCCAGCCCCCATGGGCACCGGCCACTGGGAGACCTGCCCAGGCAGCGCGGAGCAGGGCAGGGGTGCCGCTGGACGTGGAGCACCCCGTGCCCTGCCCGCACTCACGTTGATGATGACGGAGATCTGAGCCAGGACCTCGAGGATGAAGAACCAGACGCCGATGTCCTGGGCACGGTAGGCCACGGGGCGCCGGTACTCGCACACGAACTTCTGGGCGTCCAGCCGGATCTCCACCCAGTTGTTGAGCAGCGCGAAGAGCGGGGCCAGCGGGAAGGCCGCCACGAAGATGGTGATGAACCCGAACTGCAGCACTGCGGGGACAGAGGCAGTCAGGGCCCCCCCCCCGGCACGGACAGCGTCCCCCGTGCCAGACGGCACCCCTGATGCTCCGGCCCCACGCCCGGGAGAGGCTGGCGGGAAGCTGCCTCACCCACAAAGCCAACCTCCCGTGGGTCTGGCCGGAGGCAGCCTGGCACGCAGGGCAGGGACAAAGCTCCCTCTGTTTGCTCCTGCATGCTGGGCCAACTCGCGGTCGGGGGTCTCCCAGGCGGGCTGGGCTGTGTCCAGGCTGGAGAGCCCTTGCCCTGCCAGCCGGGCACATCTCTTGCTCACCCATCTCCAGGTACTCCTCGAAGAGCCCCTCGCACTCAATGAGCTCGTAGTCCTCCTCCCAGCGCCATGGCTCCTGGCTGATCTGCGAGCCCCGAACCCTGGCCAGCTTCCGCTTCTGCCTCCAGGCTTTCAGCTTGCTGCAGGGAGAGCAGGGGCATTTTGCCAGCTGCCAGTGCCAGGCCTCCCTCTACCCCCCAGCCGGCACGTCGCCTCGGGGCAGAGAGGTCTGCAGGTGCCCCTGCCCCAGCTTGCCCATGCCTCCCACCCGCAAGCAGCTCACAGCGCCAGGCAGGCACGGGATGGCACGGAGCCCCATCGGTTCAGCACCCGGCACCCACCGAGGACCCCCGCCTCAGGCACTCACGGGATGAGGAACTCCTGGATGTTGCTGACGATCTGCTTGCCCACCATGATGATGAAGAGCTGCTGCGCCAGCTCGATGAGGCAGCCGCCGGGGCCGCACTGTGGCATGCAAACAGGAGACAAGAGAGGGGTTACCCTGTAGTACCCCCAGGGCTCCTGGATCCCTGTGCCCATCCGTCCCCCCCCCCGAACGGCTGCAAACAGGAGGGAGCAGGAGCACATGCTGTGGGCTGGGAGCGAGGAGAAGCAGCCCCAGTCTCTGCTCTGGCACGTTAATGCAGCACAAGGGCCCCACTACGGTACTCACGTCCTCATTGCGCATGCCGAGTAGCTTGCCGTACTGCCCGGGGTACCCCACGAACCTGCGGGCAGAGGATGCAGCATCAGCCCCTCCCCGGTCCCTTGCTTCTAAGAGGCAGGGGATGGGCCCTCAGGCAGCTCCCGGGGTCTCCGGAGCGAGAGGACGCTGTAGCTGCACCCAGGCTTTTCAGGAGGAAAAAGGCAGGAGCTCTCCACTGGGGCAAGGGCATCAGGATGGCTCTTCCTGGCCTTCTCCTGGCTCTAAACCTGAGCCGCAGATGTGCCGGCTGCCCCCAGCACCCCTGCTGGCCCAGCCGGAGGCAAGTGGGGTGTCACGGGTGTCCAGAGATCTGTGCTGCATATGCAGGGCCTGGCCCAGCAGTGAAAGGGGTGGAAGTTGCAGGACACCATCACACCCGGCGGCTCTGTCTGCCCACAAATGCCTGGGAGCTAGAGCAATGTGCAGCGCGGGGGCACGGGCCACGGCATCACCCCATCAGCACTGCCACCCAGCAGGGTCTCGTGGTTGCAGCAGACCTTGGACCCATGCCCCGTGTCTCACGCCTCGGGCTCTAACAGATCTGGGATTCGAACCCAGGATCCTAACACCACCCTTGTCCAGACCTGCGGGGCTGGTATCACCCCAGAGGGGCTTTCTCATAGAGCCGCGTGACTGTTTGACAGCCCAAGGGGCAGGCCGAACCCCCTGGTTTGGGTGGGAGGGAGGTGCTGGTAATGGGGTGGGGGTTGTGGGTTCGAATCCCGGATGGCGTGGGGAATTTCTGCTGCTATTTCTCAGCTCTGACAGCAGGTTTCCCTGGAGTCAGGACAGCCAGGGGCAGCTGAGACCTGAAGGAAGCGCGATGGCTGCTGGAGGCTGCAGCTCGGCTCCAGCCAGCTGGCTGCACCTCCAAAGCCCCCCGGGACCTGACCCCCTTTCAGCTGGCAGAGGGAGGAGGGGGCTGGGTAACCGGAGAGCCGGCCTGCCCTATTATTAATCACAACACCGTAGCCCAGCAACCGGGGCCCCGGGGCCGCCGGAGCAGCGCAGAGCCCGTGCGCAGGGTGGGGGCCACGGTCAATGGGGCGTTTGTGTGCCTGGCCCGTGTGTGGTTTTTGGGGGGACCCTCCCGGCTCCGGGCTGAACAGAGCCTGCATTGTGTGGGGCAGCGGGGCTGGCAGCAGGGCCAGGTGTTCCAGGGATGAGTCACTTCCCCTCGCCCGGAGCCGCGTCGTTCCTCCCCAACCGGTCCCCGAGCATCCCGCATCCCAGGGCGGGCGAGACCCTCCCTGCCTAGGGTGGTGCTGAGCTGAGGGCGGAGGGCAGGACCTGGCGCTATGGCCAGGAGCAGGGAAATGGGGCACGATCTGCTGTGCAAGTCACACAGGAGCACCATGTGTGCCGTGCAGCGTGTGCATGCCCTGTCCCTCATGTCTGGGGAGGGAGGCTCCCGGCCATACGTGACCCAGCTGCGCTCTCCTGTGTGAGCCTGGGAAGGCAGAGGGTCAGGTTCCCTCTGAGCTGGAGAGCATGAGGCATCCCTGCAATGCCACGGGCAGACAATCACGGGTGCTTCCATGTGCCAGGAAGGCATCCACATCCTCTGCTTGCAGGCACACACCAGCTCGTGCAATAAGGTCACACAGGTGCAAAAGTTCCCTGTAGAGAGCAGACAGCCCATGCCTAACGACACGTGCCACATGGACCAGGTGTGTTGGCTGGTGTCACACTTGTGTCATGCGTGTTGCTTCACGTGGAACTCGGGACCCTTCAGTGCCCAGGAGGCTCCTGAACGGCCTGAGTGGCTGCAGCCCCCAGCTCTGCCCATTGCCATCGCACACGGCCGTGCCAATGCCTTGCCCCTGGCCTGGTTGACCCACAGCCTGCAGACGCTCTCACTCAGGGTCTCACCTGCCTTTAAAGAAGGCTACGTAGAAGGGCGAGGAGTAGAAGTTGACAAACTGGAAGATGAAGACCTTGAAGGTGAAGGCATCTTCATGCAGGGTCTGGGTCCGGTGCATCTCTGTGGAGAGGAGATGGCCTTGTCAGCGAGTCGACCCCGTGACCACCCAAGCTGCTCGGCCCCGCGGCTGATGGGCAACAGGTCTAGGGGGGACGTGCCAGTGCCTGGCGCCTGGAGGAGGCTGAAGGTGCCACCTGCCCTCGCAGCCCAGAGGATCCAGGTCCTGGTCCTGGCTTCCAGCTGCCCACTGGACACTGGCACTGCCTACAGGGAACCAGCTCCCCGGAGGTCCCTCAGGGACCAGCCCTGAGCCGGCTGGGCTGTGGCAGGGATGCTGCCCACACGGGCCTCGTCCGACTCACCCCACCGCGTGAGCTTCTCCGCCAGGGAGGTGTAGACTTGGCTCATGAGGAGGATGAGCACGAGGTTCACCATGGTGCTGCTGATATTCGCTATGTTCCCGGCCTGCAAAACAACCAGGCACAGCACTGTCCCCAGCCCGGGTGGCGGGCAGCCTCGAGGGGAAAGGCTCCATCACCCACAGGTCCACACCGCAGTGGCCCTGGGTACCACGACAGGGAAGGGACAGTGGCATGGGCCTCAGTGTGGGCTAGCAACCCGCGGGGTAGCCCCGCCACCTCCGGTGCAGGGGCTCTCTCCACCGGCAAAAGCCTCAGAGGCCGGGCAGGCAGGGAGAGGACCCCACTCCACCTGCCCTGCCAGGGGGTCCCTTAGGGGCCTGGCACTAACGGCATACCATCAGCCCACAGAAACACCCGCGATGCCTCGGCCGCACCAGCCGGCATCAGGGCTCGGGGCTGCCTGGGGTCCCAGGTGATGCTGCGCTGCGGGATGGAGGTGGCCGTGGGTCGCCTAGTCCATCCCCCCCAGTCCCTCCTGCAGCACCCGTGGCTCACCTGGGTCATCAGGATGGTGTTGCCCGTGTGGTACATCATCATGCTGACGATGCCACGGTACATGATCACCGAAACCAGGAAGATCATCACCACGCAGAGCTGGAGGAGGAGGAGGAGGGAGGTGTCCAGGGCTGGGCCTGGGCAGGCAAAGGCGGTGGGGTCCCCCAGGGCAGCGAGATCACTGCTGGCCAGCCAGGCTGGGTGCTCTGGCCGCAGCAGCCTCCCACACAGGTCCCAGCCCTGCCGCAGGGGGACCCCGTCGCCCTAACCAGACCCTTCTCCAAGCTCCTAAAAGCTTCTGCTCCCCGGGAGCCAGAACCCAGTCCGCTCAGGTCAAGCATCGCATGGAGAGAGACGGGCAACAAATCCAGCGCCTTCCCATTTTACCCGCTGCATTTCAGCCACCGGAGGTAGCTATATGGGAGCAAACCCTGCCACCCCCTCCCCAGCTTCCCATGCACGACCGCTGAGCTGCGGTCCCTGCTTGCTGTGCGGGGCAGCGACTGGCATGGCCGGTGTGAGACGTGTTTGCTGGGTCTCAGCAAACCCCAGGGCAAGAGCGGGCACATGGGCCCTCGCCACGGAGCATGGGCAGCACATCTCTAGCCTCGTGCTGCCTCTCGGGGAGCTGTGCCTTTGACTGCGTCTCTGCCTTGAAGGGCAAGGTCCGGGCTGGCCCCCAGATGCACGGGCCAAGGGCAGGGCAGCGTCCTGCGGGCCCCTTACCATGATGACGATGGCCATGGAGCCGGTCAGGATGCGGGAGAGCCGGGCGCGCGCTGGGAAGTAGGGCTCCTTCACGCCCGTGACGGGGTTCTGCTCCATCTGCGGCGCCATGGCGGCAAACTCCGGTCTGGGCCGCTCCTGCAGGGAGGGGGAATAGAGGCCGAGCCCCTTAGCCCAAACTGGTGGGGGGACAAGACAGTGCCTCCTTGCAGGGGCCTGGAAGTTGGGGGTGACCTTGCAGACACAGCAAAGACCAACACCCAAAGCGGGGGGTCTGGGTGAGCCCCAGAGCTTGGAGGCTGCGGGGAGGGGAGTGCCTGCAGCCGCTCTGCCGGGGTCGTGCTCCCCATGCACCCCGCTGCGCTCGGGGAAGGCAGGCAGAAACGTCCCACGCCGCCCCAGCTGCACCTCCTCCTCCTGGAAGTCCATGCAGTCCCAGTGATGCGCCAGCGTGGCGTTCGTCCGCTTCCAGTACTCCAGGAAGGTCACGGCCCAGAAGGACATGAAGACGCTGAAGAACACAGTCCCCGGGTGGTCAAAGAGGTAGCCCACCTGCAAGGGCACAGAGGAGAGGAGTCACCCGGGCGCTGCGCCAGAAGCCAATGCCTTCATGCCCACCCACCAGCTCAGTGCTGGCATCCCCGGCCTCCGTCCCTCCCGCCAGGCCCGGCGTGGCTGGAAACCTGGAGCCAGCGCCGCCGGGACAGCACGCTGGCCTCCAAAACCCCACAGCCCTGTGCATGGGCTGGGTCCTACCTTCGCCATGGGGCAAATCTCAGAGATGTTCCAGGTCTGGCACGTGTCGCAAAGCGGGCACATGAGGAACTGGCCTCCGCTCTCACAGATCTCCTGCCTGCGGGCAGCGAGCACGGGCAGGTCAGCGGGGAAACCGGCTCCCACGGCCCCTCCGACCCTCCCGCCCCACACGCACAGACGTGGGCGCGCGCATACCTGGGAACTCACTAAGGGCAGGTTTGCCAGGCTTGGCTGCGGCAGCCGGGGAAGCCATCCATCGCCGCACCCGCCTGCCTCCCCTCACCCCTGGACGCAGCGGTCCTATCTGCCCAGCCGCCCATCCACCCCTTTGTCTGCCTGTCCATCTGTCCCTTCATCTGCCTGCCTGCCCATTCATCCATCCGCCTGTCTCTGTTCATGCGCCCATCTGCCCCCCAACCCATGCATGCACACGTGCCCTCACACACATGCACGTGGACTCACGCTGGCGTGTTGGTTCCCATGGTGACCAGGCCTGCTAGGAAGACGAAGGTGCCCATGGTGGCGGCAGGCAGCAGCCAGGCGGTGTAGAAGCCTGTGGAGGGGGGAAATGCATGAGCCAGACCCACGAGTCCTTCATCAAGCACTTGGGAAGGGCCGCTGTGTGCCCAGGTGCCAGGTTTTTTACCCCAGAGTGAGTGTCAGCTCCCCATGGGCCCTGGGGTGAGCTCATGCCTGTTTCCCCAGCTATAAAATGGAAGAGGACGGTCCCGGCAGGACTAGGCTTGGGAGCACGGCCCTCTCCACACCTCTTGCAGCCAGGTGTCCAGGACACCTCCGCCCCGCCGTCTCTCTCCGTGCCCCGTGGGGCAGACAGGCACCAAGGAGATGCATCAAGGCTGCGAGCCCACAGCATGTGGGATTGGGGATCCCTGCCCCAGACCCCCTCTGCCCTGGTTGCTGTGGGGGAAGGATGCCATGCACCCACGGCACAGAGCCTGCCCAAAGCCCTAGCCATAACGCTTTGGGCGTCAGGTGTACATGACATCATGGAGCAGGAAGCGAGGTCAAAATATCTTTCCAGGGGTCGCACGCTAGGACGGGGTTAAAGCCGGGATGAGGTTCCCTCTCGGGACCCTATGGGGTGGCAAGCTCCGTCCCTACCCCACCCGTGCCCAGCTGCAGCCTGGGCACGGAGACCCGTGGGCTGGCTGAGACCCCCCGTCTGGGCATCACAGCCAAGCCGCATCTCGGCAGACCCAGGGGAGAGGCAGGCTCGCAGAGGAGGGCGGCGTGTCTCACCCAGCCAGGCGAAGTAGATGGCAATCTTCTCCCCGAAGTACTCGCGGATGTGGTCCAGGGGCTGGTACTGGTACCAGCAGCGCCACTGAGCCCAGAAGCGGTACAGGACCTGGCGCGGGTTCAGCTCCTCACCCGGCACCTCATACTCGGGCATTTCGAAGGGGCCCTGGAGCCAGCAGCAGGTCTCAGCCAGGGGGGCAGAGGCGAGTGCACGGCCTCCGCTACTCCCCGCAGCCAGGGCGCAGGGGGGCGGCGGCGAAGACCCTGGGTAGGGGTCACTGCGCAGCCCCTACCTCGTGCAGGGGGAAGGCCGCGGTGTAAATGCCCTCGTTCAGCAGCCGCTCGATGCCGACCTCGGCGTGCTTCCGCTTCCCGTAGACGGTGCGTGCCAGGATCTCGTACACCTGCCGGCGCAGGGGGGCATCAGCACGGGGCCCGTGCGACCCCAGTGGGGACTCCTAAAGCACCGCCAGGCCAGAGCTGTCGGGCGTCAGGCCCTGCAGTGGCCAAGGCAATGCTGCTGGATCCAGAGAGGTCCCCTCCACCCTCCCCGAGGCAGCCACCGACCCCCTGAAGCAGGACCGCTGGCCCCTGCGGGCTAGCACGTCATCCCCGCTGCTCCCCAGATGCAGCCCCCTCCTTCCCGAGGAGACACCCCTGGGAGCGACTGGCAGGCAGCCTCTGAGCTGGGGCTCAGCCTGCCCCCCACTTACAATGCGGTGCCTCTGGGTGTGGGTGAAGTAGGTGTCCCGGGAGTCGCTGCCCAAGAACCTGCGGTGGGAGGGAAAGTCCCCCGTTAGAGGCAGGGGCAGAGACGGGACGCTCCCGGGTGTCGGGTGCTCCAGCCTCCGTGATCACCCCAAGCGGGCACCGCCTCTGTGCCTGGCACCGTGGACGTGCAGGCAGTGAGGACAGCAGCGCCTCTCCAGGCCTGGAAGCCGGCCGCCAGCTCCGCCACAGGCGCTCTGCGTGCTCTTGGGCAAGTCACAGCCTCCATGGGCCTCAGTTCCCATCTGTGCAATGGGCACAGGGCCCTGCCTTGCATGCCACCCCCTGGCACGACAGCCTCAGGGGGGCAGAGGTAGGGGCCAGACCCCCTTGCTCCTCCCGGGAGCAGGCCAGGGCGGATGCGGGGCTGGGAGACACCAGACTGGGGTGGGTAGAGGGTACTCACTGACATCCCCAGCACTCAGCGAGTGGAAACCCCTCTCGAGTCCCACGCAGTCTCTGAAAGCCTTTCAGCTCCATTTCCACCATCACCACTTAAAAGCCGGCTGCTGGCTCCCAGGGGACCAGGGCTTGGCTCTGCCCAGAGCCTTCCCAGCAAAGCGGCGGGCGGGGGATTTCCAGCACGCGCTCCCCTCCCGCCTGAGCCGGGGCCCCTGGCGAGGGCCGAGACCCCCAGCCCCCAGGCAGGGCTGCACGGGCCCCGGCTCACCTGTCCAGCTTGGACTTGCGGAAGGCGCAGGTGTAGAAGTCCGAGGGCTTGTTGGGCACCTGCTGGTACATGGGGTTGGGGACCCGCAGCCGGCGCAAAACCTCGTCTGAGCTGTTGCAGTCGGGGTTGGGCTGGGCCTGGTGGGCACAGAGGGACCGTCGGGGGCTCCGAGGCAGCAGGGAGGGCACCAAGACTGGCAGGGACGGCCGCCTCATGCCCCTGCCCGGGAGAAACCCCAGCTTCAGACGGCCCCAAATTTCCGGCAGCACCCACCTGGAGGGGCGCCCGCAAGCACAGCTCCTCAGCGTAGTACACCAGCACGTCCCAGGGCACGCTCAGCTTCAGGTAGTGGATGGTCTTGCGCTCGCTCAGCGTCTCCTCCTGCGTGGTGTGGAGGGGGGCAGCTGAGCCGGAGCCCCCAGGCAGGTGCAGCCGGGTCTGGGAGCCCTGCGGACACACGGAGCCGGTCCCCCCAGGAGCCGCGGTCTCACCTTCTCCATGAGCAGCCCGGCGCCGCGCAGGTTTTTCAGGAACTTCCTCTTCCATTGCTCGTGGCGATCCCGCGGCCGCCCCTCGCACGGGGGCTGCTTGGCCTTCCTCTTCTTTGGGGGGCGCAGCTTCTCCTCCCAGACCAGCACGAAGTCTGTAGAGCATAGTGAGAGGCTCCAGCATGGGCCGGGAGCCCCCCCATGGGCGCGCTGGGCTCGGGAGGGGATACAGCGTCGGGCCCAGGGTGGGAGAGGGGCCACGTCCCACCCCCCAACACTCGTGCTCCCACTCAGCCTGCAGGGACCTGGGGTCCGTCTCCCCCCCAGCAGGGCCAGATCCCCAAGACGGGTTCTCCAGGGCACAACGCCCCTGCAGCAGGGGGGCAGGGGGCTGCTCACCGATCTTAGTCGTTCCATCTCGGAAATAGTTGCCCCGGGTGCTGGGCTCGAAGCTGCCGGCGTCCTGGATGTAGATGGGGTCGTCGTCGTCGTCTTCGTCTCCATCCTGCTGGGCACAAAGAGAGGGGAGAGGCAAGTGGGATGGGCTGGTTTGGGGAGGGTGGGGGCATCCCTGGGTCCACGGAGCCACACATCCTGCAGGTGCCCATCAGCCTCGACCCACAGCCCCTGCCCCCCCTGTGCCTGCCAGAGCCCCTCCGGTCTAAGCCATAGCCTTTCCTCCCCTGCCACGCTCCTATCCTGTCTGTGGTGCACTGCAGACCCTCAGCTGCACCCCAGGCCCCTCTGGGCTCCTCCCCGCAACGGGCAGATGTGGTGGGATCAAGGCAGCAGCTCTCTGTAGGGAGAGGAGGAAGCGGGCATGGAGGGTGGGGCAGCCCCCCATGGTGCTGCTCTAGGGCTGGGCTCCCTCACCCCATGTGCCTCCAGGAGTTTGGGAGAGGGGTCTGCGCCCCGACACTGGGTTGGGGAAGAGGGCAGAGCCTCGAACCTGATGGTGCAGCCCGGCTCCATCCCCTCCACCCCGCACGGACAGCATCGGGCATCACCCCGGGTCCTGCTCCAGGACTGGCACGAGCCCCCGCAGCCCTGGGTGGCAGGAAGGCCAGGGCCAGATCCCCCTCCCCGGGGGCTTGCTGCGGCCTGGAGAGCAATCCCATGCAATCCCCCTTGCACTTACCAGGCTGGCGTAGGGGCCCCCGTTCTGGAGGGCACCCGGGGAGCCACCGAGCAGGCGGGAGCAGCTCCTCTCCAGGCCGCCCAGCAGGCTGGGGTCCGGCTCCTCCGCCTTCTTGCGGGTCATGGCGCTGGAGTCACTGGCGAGGCATTGGGCCCCCAGCGCTGGCCCTTGCCTGGGAGGAGCAGAGGTGTCAGCATAGGAAGGGGAGCGATCCTGCGGGCTGTGGTGCCAGGCACCCAAGGCCTCTACCCTCCCTGCCCCAGGAGCCTGGTCCGGGGCGCTCCTGCAGCATCCCTGCAGCTGCCCAAGTGCCCAGGCCTCGGCAGCACCCCCGGCCCCCTCCCCATGCGTGTCCGAGCCCCCAGCACCACCTGGACCCGAGCAGGCTCCGCAGCCGCGGCAGCAGCAGCCGGGGCTGGTATTTATAGAGCACCAATCAGGCAAGCGGCAGGCGCTGCGGGGAGGAGAGGATGCGCGTGGGGAGGGGGTTGCAGCTCCATCCTAGGCAAGGCTCAGCCTAGGTTTCCCTGCCCGGAGCCCTGCTCCCGGCTCTGCCCCAGGGAAGGGCTGAATCCCCCCAGGGAAACTGAGGCATGAGGGTCTGGCCATAAGGAGCCTGCCCCCGTCCTGCTCTCAGCCGTCCCTATCCCCCAGCGCCAGCAGCTGAGGCAGGCGCCCGTGCCTGGAGCCTGGCGAGGTTCCCTGGGTGCTGGGACCTCCGCTCACCTCCGAGGGACGGGGGGCACGAAATATTCAAGCCGCCTACACGTGGAGCGTGGCAGGGGGTTGTGCAGGCCGCTCGCGCCAATGGTGCTGGCCTCTGCGCCAAGCAAGGTCCGGCTGCAAGGAACCTGCGAGGGGAGCTGAACTCTCCCCTGTCCCCCAGGAGCAGGTTTCCTGGCCGTGCAGGTGGCGCTGCCCTGCTTTGGCGCAGCCAGGGGCATCGCTTCCCCGTGGCTGTGGCGGCGGTCAGGACTGACTCGGGAGCTATCGGCTTCGGCCCAGGCTGGCTCTGCCGATCGCGAACCGCTCCCCGATCTCTGGGTCTTTCAGGCTCCGCTGGCCACAGGCTAGAAGATGGGGCAGCCGTGGAGCTGAAAGAAAGCCCCACACACACCACCTCCACTGCTGCCCTGGCTGCAGACACGCAGCTCCTCCACGGGGCTGGGAAGGGCCCGCAGTTGCTGATCTTCCTCACTTGTCCCCTCCGGGAGCTCCTGCATGTCCTCGGCTCCCCAAGGAGCTGGTGGGAGTAGTAACAGCCCCAGCCCATCCCACAACCTGGGGAGACAGCGGAAGAGCTCAGCGGCCCCTGACAGAGGCCCTGGATTTGCATGGGTCCTCTGCTGCCCTGCAGCTGGCGCAGAGCTCATGCCTTGGGCACCTATGGCACTTTCCAGCTGGTGCCTCCATCTCTCTACTCAAGCCTGGACCCTGCGGCAGCACCACCTGCCCAGCGACCTTGGCAGCCACCCCGGAGCAGGGCGAGGGGGGCAGATCGGGGCCAAAGCTCCCTGGCCTCCCCTGCCCAATCCACCCCGCCACACACTCATCAGCACCAGCTCAGTTCTGCTCACCAGGAACTGGAGACAGACCCTCACCCCAGCGCTCGCTCAAGGGAAAGACCCCCACCCATGGCCCAGTTCCAGCCCCAGCAGCTGCTCCGTCAAACTCCGATGCCCTCCCCGGTAACACTGGACGCGAGCCACAGGCAGGGGCAGTCAGGATTTAATTGCCTGGAACACGCAAGGCCTGGTGGCAGGGCCCCCAGCAGCAGAAGTCCAGTGAAGCCTGTATCAATTCCTCTCGAATCCAGCCAGGGACACTCGATGCCTGCGATGGACAGGGCAGGATGGACATCCCCACCTGCAAACACCCTTCCAGGGGGCTGAACAGTCAGCACTGGGCACCTGGCCATCACGGGCACAACCAGGATGTTGCTGATGCTCTGGTCTCTGCTCAGCTCCACTGCAGCCGCCTCGTGAAGGCCTCCGACGCCACCTGGCGACAGCACCCAGGGAGCTCCGGGTGTCTCAGCAGGGTCCTGTCTCTTCTGGGCTGGGCAGGGGAGCTGGGATGAGCCCAGCAGCCACCTGGTCCTGATGCCACAGGTGCTCTGCCAGCCCGTTGAGCAGGGGTGCCACCTCCCGCAGCCCAGTGCCAGCGTCCGGGGTGCGCCTGCCCGCTTGCTGGGACCCAGCCGCGCTCTGCGCCCGAAACACAGGCAGGTGCCAGGTGCGCTGGAACTCGGCCACGTCCCGCTCCGTGACGTCAGCATGCATGAACTGGTCGAACCTGGCGTGGACGTTAAGGAGGCAGCGCCACAGCCTGGGGCTCTGGATTGGGGCAGGTGGGCACGGATCCTCTCAGAGCCACACTGAGCCCAGTATCACCCCAGATGCTTCCTGCATTTCCCCCTCCTCGTGGCTGCTGCCTGGGCCTTGGGGAGGGATCTTGGCAGCTCTAGACTCTGCCCAGCTGGGGAAGCATCCTGCCTGGCTTTGGAGGTCTGATCCCATGGGGATGGACATGACATGGAGCCCAGGACCTCCACCCCTGCCATCCCAGCCACATTCACTCTGGCTACAGCAGTGAAAGGGGGTGGAGGTGCCGCAGAGCCACCCCCCAAAGGATACTTGGTGCCCACAACGATCCTGACGAGGCTTCCAGTGTCGCCCACAACACGCGAGATCTGGGCGGGCAGGTCATCGAAGGACGAGCGGTCGGTGAAGGAGAAGAGGAAGAGGATGGCATCTGCCTTCTCCTTGCAGGCCTAAGGAGGGACAGGGCATGCGTGTAGACGTGTGTGCCCGTACACGTATGTGCGACCCCGGGAGGGAGCCCACAGCAGGGGAAGGCACTGATGGGCCAGCAGCCTTGATGCCAGGCTTGGATTTGGAGCTGGGTCCTGCCGCCCCTGGGATACTAGACAGGGTGTTCAGAGCCACCCTAGTGCTTTGGAGCAAAAGGGACTCATCCTGCAGCTCCCTCCTGGTGGCCCACTGCACCCCTCCACTGTGCCTCAGTTTCCCCCCGTGTGAAACTCCAGTCAGATCAGTGCTGGGCACGAATGGGCCTGGTAGATGCTGCCCCAAGACCCTTTCCCATTGCCAGTGGGCCGCAGTGAGTGCCTGCTCGTGGCTGAGGGAGGTGGTTCAGCCCTCTAAGGTGAAGCCCCGATGCTCGCTGGGGTGCAGGCTGGGCCCAGGTGGCGGCACCCAGGCCGGGTCTCCCGCAGAGGTGGGGCGGGGAAACCCCATCCAGCCCCTGCCCAGTCTGACTCACCGGCAGGATGTGATCAAACTTCCTCAGTGCCGCTTCCCCGCAGTCCCAGAACTGGAGGCGAAAGATGATGGCTCGGCCACTGTCTCTCAGCTTGGCCGGCCAGTACACCACCGTCGTCTGTATCCCTGCAACGACACCGCTGGGCCTTGGAGCTCCTCTGGGAAAGCCGCAGGCCCCCTTTTCTGGCTGGAGAGCAAAAGTCACAGGAAAGCGAGTCTGGAGCTGACGGGGAGCTGTGGCCCTGCCCAAGTCACAGGGTGGCAGAGCCCTGAAGGGAACCCAAGAGTCTGGAGGGCCCTGCCCATCGAACCATCCAGTCCAGTGGGGCTGGCACCTTGACACCCCCTGTTCGAGGGTGTTGTGCCCTTCCCAAAGGCTCGCATCCCCCCACGTCTCACTGGTCTGCCCCATAATGCATCCTGGCTCTGGCGTGGGCACTCACCCATGGTTTCGTGGTGGGCGCTGGGTACTTCCAGTCCAGCCAGCTTGGCCACCAGCGCCGTCTTCCCCACTCCACTTTTGCCCGAGACAAACACCTTGTAGCTGGCTGTGTCTGAGGCCACCTGCGGTGGCAGCACTGGCCTTTCGATCAGTCCTGGGAGGAAGAGGCCACATGATGCCCTGCAGAACCCACCACGTGGCCCCGGGGCTGTCTGTCCTCCTGGGTCTCTCCCCTGGGGTCTGAGAGGCTGCTACAACCCATCTATTTTTGTTTGAACTTGCTTAGGATGCCAGCACAAAAAGCCAGGGCAGGAAGGGACCGTGGGAAATCAGCTGGTCGGAGGCTAAACCAGAGGTCTCTAACCTGCCCCCCAAGACCTGCAGGGCCAGAGACGCCCCTCTCCCTCAGTACCTCAGCCACACTCATGGTGAGGAAGCTCTTCCTCCAACCCACATCCCCCTTGTTGCAAGCTAAGTCCGTTAACATTGTGTCCCACAGCTGACTGCCATCCTCCGTCTAATGAGCTAAGATGAGCCGGTTCCAGTGCACGTGGGTTTATGGATGCTGAAGCTAGAGGGAACCTTTACCATCATCTCCTCTGCCCTCCTGTAAGATACAGGGCAGAAAACATCAGCACTGACTTCTCCATGGAGCCTGAACCCCTGGCTGAGCTGGGCAGGGCTTTCGGGGAGGTGCTTCAAGGGATGATCCCCAACGCAGCCGTCTCAGCAGCTCATCCCCCGTTGTTAAATCTGTGCCTGATTTCTAGCCCGGCTGCAGCTTCTGCTGGCTGGGTCGGCCCTCGGGGGTCCTGTCAAACAGCTGGGAAATTCACGGTGGCTCATCCAGAGGCCAAGAGGCCGAGTACCTGGACTGGAAACAGAGCCCTAACTGCAGCCTTTGATTCCCTGCTCTGCCACCAGCTTCCTACCTGACCTTGGGAGGTCACTTTTCCCTGCCCGTGACTCAGTTTCCCCACCTCTGAGATGGGGATAAAGGCAACGATTGCCCCAGGGGGATGTGGGTCTTTGTAACCCTTCCATGGCTCTTTCCTTCCAAGCTCATTACAGGCAGGACAGAAAACCCTTGCACCCCTTCTACCCCTTTCCCACCCCACACCCAGACAGTCACATGTACCAACAAGCTCCTGAATGCAACAGCTTTAGGTCCCCAGTGGATCCAAAAGCCCCCTTCCAGCCCCACTACTTTCCCCATCCCCTCACATGCCCTTGCTCTGCCCAGGGGCAGGAAGGACGCACCAAAGACCTTCCGCTTGTTCTTCCGCAGGATGGCGGCCAGGTGCTCTTTGCCCTCTGGTGATTTGAGCCAGTCGGGGACAATCACAGAGCCGGGGGGCACAGACATCTTCACACCAGGGCCCGGGAGAGCCTGGCTCTGCTAGGGGTCATCGGCAGACTCGGCCTGAGAAACAGGAGGGAACTAATTACCAGGAATTGTTATATTTGCCAGCCAATGTGCAAGCAGTAGTCTCTAACTACTGCCTCTGCTGTCCCCAAGCTTTGTGGGGCAGGCCCTGCCTCTCCTGATGCGCCTGGGCAGTGTCCAGCTCATCGGGGCCCAGTTCCCAGCTACAGGGCACCTTGGACACCTGACTGGCTCTCATCCACTGTAAAGGGAGACGGCCGGGTTAAAGGCAGGGCGCTAAAGGGAACTCAGCAGGACAGGGAGCTCAAGTGCTGGCTGCTGTTAAAGCCAGTCCCTTCCTCTCCCTAGGCCTCCATTTCCCCATCAGTAAAATGGGTGCAAAGATCCTGGTCTGTGTTGCAACATGCTGTGAGAACTGCTGATGCAAAGAGCGGTACAAGATCAGGGCCCTGCTATTATCCCAGGAGCAAGGCTTCCACGGCAGAAAGGCTGAATGACCCTTGGCACGTATCTGTGCTTGAGCGCTGAGGGGCTGCAATGTACGTTCTTTGGCGCATATAAAACAACCCACCACCAAGACGTGACGCTGGACTCCCTATATTAATCTGACCTGTGGAAGGTGCTAAACTGAGTGCCCCAGAGAGATGAGCCGTCCATCCACCCATTGGCCCCTGGTAGCTTTGCTAGCGAATGCTTTGCACTGAAGTTAAGTTGCCTTTGTATGGCCCCTACTCCCAGAAAGCTTCACGCCCAGGCCAGCTTAGCCCTGAAATCAGGCTCTGAGTACTTCACATAGAAATATCCCAGCAGCATTTGATAAAGCATAGGATTTCATAACTCCGGGCAAACACATCGGTGGCGCTGGGGGCTCAAAGAAGAAAAAGGCACCTTTATGTTTCGCTGGCTTTGGACGGCTTTGATAAGCAGAACTGAAACCCGGCACCTGTTGCGAGGCGCACCATGGAGGCACATTTAAGACGTCTCGATGCAAACGAAGGAGATAAGGGAAAGCTGTAAGTCGGTGTCTGGGCTTGAAAAAGGGGTGAGATAAAGGCCTGAGGTAGAACAGAGACTGCTCTGTAAGCGAGGCGGAGACAGAGACATTGGGAATAGGGCAGGTACTCCTCCACTGCAGACATCATAAGGCCCCGAAGGGGAAACGCATGATTTTAAGTTTGTCTGGTCAATTAGAGCCTTATACCGTTACAATCCGCTGGCTGATGGAGCTGGGTCAGCTTGGCCCAGGGAGCCTTTGCTTCAGCAGTTAACACGCCGGCAGCAGGCAACTCAATCCTGGGTTTCTGATGAGAGATGAAGATAAAAGCCCAGCCTTGCTGGTCAGGGGGTGGTGGGGGGGTCCTCTCACGAGCACAACGGCGCTACTATGCTCCGCTTGGAATCGGACCAGGAGGAAGGTCTCTGCTGCAGCAATTTCAGCTGTGGGAGATGTGCTCAAGCTAGAATTTAAATGGCTATGGTGGAGATTTCAACAGTGCGGCACCTATGCCAGGGGCTGGCAACCTTTTGGAGCAACAGGCCTGGCATTGCAGCTGCGGGCTGCCCTGGCTGCTATTCCCCAGCTGCTCCGAGCCCCTCCTTGCTCTGTGCCGAACACCAACGGGGAAGGACAAAGTTGGCAGCAAGAGCACAAAGCAGGAGGCTTTGGGTCACGGCTCTAACGCGGTCCCTTGAATCTGTCCCCTTAAAGTCGTTAGTGACTGAAAGGGCTAGGGACGGCGCTGCCCCACCTCTCAGGGGAGGCTGCGACTGCTTTGGGCACGTGCCGCTAATTGAATCACAGCCCCCTGCCGCAACCGGGTGCTGCAGGAAGCTTTGCTGTTGCAAAAGCCACAGAGACGATCAACCTCTTAGACAAGGCCCTGGGAGGGATCTGCTCGGGCTCAAAGTCCCAGCTCAGCCCACACGCGCTCCTCTGCAAACGACGGAGAGGTCCGAACAGCTTTGATCCTCCCTGCGCAAAAAGGCAGCGGATCAAAGCGTGAAATGAACAGGCTGGGGGCACAGACACAGGGGTGGCGGCACGAAGGATTCCTCTTCCAGCTGCCGCGAGGATTTCCTACGTGTCAGAGAGGATGGAAAAGCTCAAGCCTTGTTCTGCGGGGACGCATTCGTCTTCCTCCCCGACTGCCAAAGAACGCAGCGGCCTCGGCCGAGACGATTCCCACCGAGCCGCTGACCCCTAGCAGTCGCCGCCGGTCCTCGCGTAGCCTCCGACCCGATGCTGGTGCATCTTTGAGCGAGTTAGTCTAGAAGGCGCGAAGCTTCCTCGCCCTCCGTCCAGCGTCCGGCTGCAACGGCCGATTCCTGCTCGCACGGCTCCTGCATGCCGTATCCAGGGGTCGGCCGATGCCGGACGACTCAGGTGGCGCATTGGGCGCAGGGTCGTTCTTCCCATGCACCGCTCGACGGCCGCTGTCCAGAAACGGCTGCATTTTGGCTGCGGAAACTCGATCTGGGCTGATAATGCTGATAACGCCCCCCTCCAAGGGCGCCACTGACAGGGGTCACGTGGTGGGACCCCGCACCGGGCCCTGGGGCGTGAGGAGCAAGGGGGGAAACTGAGACGGGGACAAGTGGGAAGCTGAGGCAGGGGCAAGGGGGTCAGAAGTTCCCCACAGACTGGGGGCGGCCCCCGGGGTCCCCCCACAGCGTTTCCATGGAGACCACAGCCCAGCCCCTGCCGGGCGGGAGGGGGAAGCGCACCCTCCCCCTTCCCGATTCTCACCGGCGCTCACTTCCGCCTCGGCGACGTCTGACGTCAGCGCGCACGGGTTGGCCGCTCCCTGACGGCCGAGGCGCACGCGCTACTCCGGCTTCCGGGTGGGTGAACGTGGAGGGGTGGGTGCTTTACCTCCCCGAGCTGCTGCTCCGCTTTCTGCTCCCTGCCCCGCCCTTGCAGCGCTGTCTGGGCCGCAGGCTGGGCACGCACGAGCCGTGGGCAGCTTTTGCCCCAGGGGAGCGGCTCCGCAGCCGGCGGGGCCTGTCCTAGCTCTTCTCAAGCCTTCTTTCTAACCTCCGAGCTGCCCGTCTTCTCCCCGCTCTGGTGTCCCAGGGTG